AAATGAGTACGAGGAATATTGCTAGACACTTAAATATTTGCCATCAAATTGTTTGTAAAATTTAGTGGATCCTTTGTTATATCCTTATCACATTTTAAGATTACAGGCATCACTTCCCATTGATTTTCCAAGTCAGTGGTATCTTCAAAAAGTTACACAAAATCCGCAATTTGAATCAATGATTCTGTTCACGGACGAAGCTAATTTTTCACGAAATGCCATTCAGAATTTCCACAATAATTATTTGTGGGCAGAAGAAAATCCCTATGCCGTAACCGAAACCCATTTCCAACACCAATTTTCGGTTAACGCCTGGGTAGGAATTATTGGCAACCACTTTATTGGCCCATTCTTCTTGCCGGGACGACTTGACGGACTGAGTTACCTCAATTTTTTTCAACAACAGTTGCCTTTGCTGCTTTATGATGTTCTGTTTGTAATAAGAAACAATATGTGGTACATGCATGATGATGCACCAGCGCATTTCAGTGTAGCGGTTCGTAATTATTTACAAACTGCTTATCCAAATCGTTGGATTGGCCGCCTTGTGCCCCAAGAATGGCCGCCAAGGTCCCTAGACCACAACAGTTTAGATTTCTTTTTGTGGGGCTATCTTAAGACACTAGCGTACACAAGTCCCGTTAACACTGTAGAAGAATTAAGAGAAAGAATAGTTGCTGCTTGTGATAGAATAAAAAACACTCCAGGGATATTTCGACGAGTGCCCAATTCCATGAGAAGGAGGGCGGAAGCATGCATACTAAGTGAAGGGGGCCATTTTCAACACTTTTTGTAATCATTTAGTTGGTTTTAATGTTATGTTTATGTTGTCAGTTGTTGTTCATTACCCCAAATGTGTTTAATTTTTCCAATTAAGTTAATAAAATTTAAATAAAAACAGACGTAATCGCCTTGAGTGGTGCAGACAACGGTCACTCTGGGATTAGGAATGGAACAGTATTGTCTTTAGTGACGAGTCTCGATTTTGTTTAGGCATGCACGATGGTCGTGCCAGGGTTAGAAGGCGACGTGGTGAAAGGAGGAATCCACAGTTTTTTGTTGAAAGACATGTTCATCACACTGTTGGAGTTATGGTTTGGGGTGCTATAGCTTATGGTTCCAGGTCACCTTTAATCTTCATCAGAGGTAACATGAACGCGCAGCGTTATATCCACGAAGTTCTAGGACCCCATCTTTTACCCTATCTTGACACCCTGGCAGATCCAACTTTCCAACAAGATAATGCCCGACCACATGTTGCAAGAGTCACAATAGACTTCTTTCAACATAATGATGTCACATTGTTACCATGGCCACCAAGATCTCCCGACTTATCCCCAATTGAGCACGTGTGGGATATGATGGGTAGGAGATTGCTCAATTTGCAACGTCCTCCTCAGACTCTAGAAGCACTTCGAGAGGAGTTGGTGGTTGCCTGGAATGAGATACCACAGGAGGACATTGACCACCTGATCAGAAGCATGCCTAGGCGCGTTGGAGAATGCGTAGCACATCAGGGTGCATCCACACATTATTAAAGGTCAAAGGGCTTTAAAGCAGTGCAATCATTTTGAAATTTTTATCATTTACTTATTATGCTTCATTAAGTACTTATACAAAATTTTATTAAAATAAAACCATTTAAACTGGGTGTTCGGATTGATATGTCACTTAGTATATGTAAAATGATATTATAGATCTTAATAATAAAATGATTTATTTATAACTTTCCCGTCTGTATCTCAAATGTTTAGACATTTAGGGTACATGATCATATGAAGATTTCTTTTTAAAAGCACCCTGTATTTGTGCTTGTCAACATATAATATTAAATCCACGTATTATGCGCTTATTATATAGTTCCTATAATTGTTCGTCAGCCAAAAGCCCTTATTATATAGTTCCTATAATTTTTCGTCAGCCAAAAGCCCTACGATACGTCTAAAGATAAGTTTCGAAAGTCACGTCCATCAGTCTTCTGCATCTGAAGGGCGAGAAACCTTAATAAAAGGAGAGGTCATATTGTTCTCCCCAACTTTCCTACCTTCCTTTTATAGTTTACTTCTCTTCTTTTTGAGTAAATCAATTATAAGAATCCCTGCCAATGCCAACAAAGCCTCTGTCGATACATTTTTGCTTCAGTTTGTCCGATAAAGTTATTAAATTTTAAATAAGATAAAGAAATGGAATCTTTTTAGGGAAAGAATTTTTGCCCCTCTATAGACTAATATCACATTAAAACAATGGAAGAATGGCGTCGAGTTGATTAACTTCATACGTTCCAGGTATTTCAATTTTTCACTGCTATTGTAAGAATTCGACAGTCATTCATACCGTACTACGTGCTGCAATAATTTCTGTTGGGTTAAAAGATTTTTATATGCACATAACAGCAATTCTAGATTAAGTTGCAGATCAGTTTTGGATATCAAAACTTCTTTTTATCTTTTTGTTTTCCGAGTCCCCAATAACTTTTAGAGGGGTTAACATTCAACGTACTACGAATTTTCTTCCGACTGCCTCAGAGGGAGGGTTACGTTTTTTGATCGTGTGTATGCCTGTATGTACGCCGAACAAAAAAGCAATTTAAATTTTAATTAGGCCAATTGAAGAATTTAATTAACAAATTGAAAGCTATCATGTTTAATTAGTTTAATCAAACTTCGATTTCTAAAACAGTTTACTTGAATCTATGTAATTAGCGTAAAGCAAAACGCAATTGTATTAAACCGTTTATTTAGATTGATTACACCAATTTATTTGCTATTAATGAACTATTAAAATGAGTTACCTGCTGCAAATAAAACAATTTAATTATGTGTATTTAAATTTGTTTAATTAGTTCAGGTAAAAGTGTTTGCCTAGTTTTAATGAACTGCTTTACTTAGATTTAAAATGATATTCGGATAAAATTTGGAATTGAATATAATAAATTTCATTATACTGAAAGATGTTTATTATAACTGTGCTCTGATAAATCTTAAATCAAAAAGCTCCTCGCGAAAATCACAAATAAATTTGAGAAGCTGAGAGCCGGGTCCTGCCGAGTCCTCGATTACAATAAATAGTTTCACTGTTTTTATTAAAATGTTTAATTGTTTCAAATGTACCTTATCCAAATAAACTAAATTATATAAATTAATTAAGCACCTTAATACAGGTACATGGTTTACTATTTTCAGGCAAATTGAACCGAATATTTTTGTTACTATAATTAAAAAATTCAGTGCGAGTATAAAAAATGTTCCAGAATAACTTTTAATTTACCATGTTTTCTCAGTATGTGTGAGTGGACAAAAATAATAATATTTTCTCGGGCTACAGTCTAAACTACTTGATGGATTTTGACATATGAAGTGTCTGTAGCTATCTAATTCTTTTATGATAGTATATTTATACGCTCCCAGCCTCAGTAGTTCTACAAACCTATTAGCCGTATTTTACACATCATAGATTTTCCCATAAATTTGTCGTTAGAACTTAGAATGATAGATAAATGTTTTCGATATGCGTCTCCTTCTGCTATCTGGGCTCAACGCCCGGCGTAACGATCTGCTTGAATGTTCTGCTCGTACTGTGGGGGTTCGAGATTTCTTAGTTTGAGCTTGCAGCATATTTTTTCTGTTCTGAATGACTTTGAGAAGCTGCTGATTTGGAATATCATGTTTATCTATCTGTTTATACAGGGTCCGGCAGTAAAACCTGACGGTCTTTGAAATGAGATAAATCAATGAATTTTCAAGATATCTGTAGATACATATTTTTATTTAATATAGCAAGAGTGGAAAACAGAAATGCACACCAAAAAATAAGGAAAAACCATTATGTTCAAAAATAACGTCGCCCAAGTGACGATCCCCATTTTCCTCGCTCTGCTCAAGCCGGTTGGTGGAGCTTGCCATCACTCTCTCCAAAGTGTGTTGAGGGATCGCATGAATTTCTCTCCGTATGTTCTCTAGCAGTTGTTCCAAATTTCGAGGCTTGTCCAGATAAACTTTTCGCTTTAGGTAGAGATAAAAATCACATGGAGACAAATCGGAAGAGCGTACAAGCCATGGAATGTCACCACTGAGGGATTTCAATTTGCCAGGAAAAGAACTTCTCGACAGCTCCATTGACAAACGTGACGTGTGGGCAGTAGGCCCATTCTGTTAGAACTAAATTCGCCTAAGAAGAATGCGTCATCTACGTAATTCAGGGAGAAAAAAATCCTGGCTCATAGATCCATATCGCTTCGAAGTCACTGGCACAGAGAGGCCGGTTTCCTAAAAAAGAAAGACCCAATACAATTACCCTTTGGGGGTGGAGTGGAGCTCTTGTAGGCTTTCTGCTGCCTGTAATGAAAATTTTGTTTATTTACACAACCATTGAGTTGGAAATGTGCTTCGTTGGAGATGAAAATAATCATTCCGAGATCTTCATTCATCCTCTGCAACATAGTCTCTGCGAGAGCCACTCTTCTTGCGAAGTCTGGCTGCAGTAACTCTTCAACGATAGCAATTTTATAAGGATACATACGCAAGTCTTCATGAAGAATTCGGCGAACACTCCGGTCAGATATTCTCAGAACCTGAGTGTGACGAATCGCGGAACGCCTTGGACTCCGTTCAAATGGTACTCGTACTGCCTCGATGTTTGCATGCATCCTTACTGTACTGGAGGACACTCCCCTTCTTCTTGTAATTCCGAAAGCAGTGTTTCGAAAATTTCGAACCCATAAATTGATAGAATACGCCCACGGGAAGAAACATTAAAATACACACGAAAACTTCGCTGGGTTAGGATCAAAGAATCGTTATTTCTGAAAAAGGTCAAACCTTCCATTATTACTAACATTCCACATCATGCGAACGAAATCAAGCGAAACCCTCCCCCTCTCAAACCACCAGTCCAATCCCTACCTCCATTCAAAAGCCATCAGATTTGCACTGCCGGACACTGTATAATAAGTTAAAAAACAACTGACATGCACCTACTTGAACTGCTTTTCTTTGTTCCAGAAGTCACGACAACATATGACTAAAGTATCGCCTAGAAGGTCTGTTCCAGCGCGGCAAATGGGCGCGCGTGAAGAAAGGCCCGCTGGCCACCCCTCTGGAAGATATCTTCAGGAGGCGGACCCCTCGATCTGGCTCCACCCCTTCAGCAAGGGGCGGCGCCACAGTTCGGGAGGAGCCCTGCTAACAGCTGGGGGCGGCACAGCGCGGCTAAAATCATAGGTGGCGGTTATACAGTCAGTCGAGGGTAGATCGATCGGTTCGCGAGCTCTAGATATGTTGTAGATGGTCGAAATGGAAGGTACGTGATGGGTAGGCGGTGGTGGTGCAGATGCTAACAAGACTATAACGTGACGTATTGGTTCAATCACACTTATTTAACACGTCAGCAGGTAACTATATTTCCTGATGCTGACAATGGCGTAATATGAATTTTACTACGATGTTTCTGTGCGGACGTATAGAACAAGTAATTTTTATGACATCATTCATATTTCCGCGACATTTAAAAAGCCTTTGATATTGGGACATACAATGAATTGAAGAATTGAAAATGGGTTGAGGAAGTGTGAATAAACTGTTGAAAAAAAAACATGGAAGGAAGACAACCTTTAGGTTAAATATAATTTGAATCGCTTAATAGGATTACAAAATTTCTGGATTTTTTTCAAGATGCCGCTCAGCATCACTGACGCGATTTCCGCTGACGAGAATATATTAAAAGTTATGGTCAAGTGTCAATAAGTGATAACATTGGTAATCATGGATAGTGAAAATTCAACCCAGGAATCCTTAACTGAAAGCAAAGACTATGATATCGAATCATCCCTACTTAGCAAACTTTGTGAACCAATTGCCACTACTAAAGCCATACTGGCACTCATTTATTTTACGGATAAGTTGTGTTGCTGAGTCACAATATAGCTTAATTACCCATCTTTGGAATTCAGAATAACCTTTCAACCCTTTCCAAATCGGCCTTTTCCTCAAACTCTTCTACCTCAGCTAAGCAATGAGTATGTGTTTTCCTTGACTCTCCTTGTATATGTTATAAGACCTCAGGGGTGACTTCATCAGCACCTCGCTTGGCTGCACTTTTCAACCTCCCATTCCTTGCTCTTCAATTAAAAGGACTTGTCCCACACACACCATCCTTGTATTCAGTTTTTTGATAGGAATGAACTTTTTCAGCCATTCTTAAGACAGGTTCAACCGCACTGTCTTGTCGGCTTTTTCTGCAGTGAAGTGTGAGATTCTCCAGAAAACCCTTCAGTCGTTTGCTAGACAATCCACCAAGGTAATACTTGCAGCATTGTACCATAGAGAGGAGCGTAGTGTTAAATATTCATGCCATCGCCGTTGTCATCATCGTACATGTTGCACTTGAGATGTGTCTGTACAAGTCAGCGAGTGAAAACCGATCACCGATTCAGACTATTTCTATAAACCTGTATTTTTCTCATTATCATCTGCCTCACTATTGGTTGAATATTAACCCGTTTGCCCTTGCTTACATACCTGGCAAAGTTGTCAGCAGTCATCCTCTCCCTGAGCGTCAATCAACCAGTCTACTACTCTAGTGGCTGACATGGAGTATCGTTGTAATATACGCAGTTCGGTCACTCTCTCTTTCCTACCCTCTTTAGGTAGTGTGTAAAATAATTGTCCTGTGAGAAACCGCACCGCTCCGTTATCAATCCAGATTTTAATGTCTGAAATCGATCTTCTAGTCCATGCACCAAGACCACTTGCATCCCATCTTCTCTGCCATCCAATCTAGAGTGCCTCTGTTTTGCTGTCCTTGGCTCCAACGCCCTTCTCAGAGAGCGCATATCTTTCCTCAACGAACAAATCAATCTGCGGGACACCAGCCACCAACATGTCATTCCGTAAGCGCAGATCACGCGGAATACAAGCTTCATGTGGCTTTTGATCACTAGCTGCTTATATTTCTTCGTACTTGAGTAATCCAGTATGCCACACGAGCCTCACACATCTCGACGTAGTACTTCACCTTCATTCAAGGCACCTCCGAGGCATTCCCTCGCGTCTTATATAAATGTTTCCTCATCCATTAGTTATATTCCTTCTTTCCTTCCTTCACTTCCACCTTCTACCTATTCTGCCATTTTCTCTGCTGTTTTTTCTCTCCCTATTGTTTTTATCTGTCTCTATCCTTCCGCCACTTCCTCTTCCCTACTCGATCTACTCATTCTTGCTCTCTTTCAGTTGTTCTTCCGTTCCTTTCTTCGTTATACTTGTTCTCTCTAACTGAAGTCACCTCTGAGGCCTTTCATCTTTTTTTGCTCCAGTATGGAGATGAACTCCTCAAAGTTTTAACAACGAAAGGGATTTTCTCCGTTGCGTCAAAAAATATTATTTTGGAATTTGTACGAGTATTACATAGAGAAGGCTTACGCGCAAAGTTCCATCTAACGTAACATGAAACTCACTCAAGTAACTCTAACTACTCTAAAAATCTGAATACATCGAACCTGAAATCTTTATACGTTCATATTCACCAAACCTCAGCAGCTGCGGTATATTAAGTAACAATATTCGATATTCATAATAGCCATAATTTCGCCTGGTTAACTACACACATAAATCCAACCATCATTTTTTCCGTCTACATCATAAAGTGCTCCATAAAATTGCCGTTTAGATTTTTTCCGCCCAAACGCAGGCGTATTATGTATAAATCTGACGGTTACTGAGAGCCGTAAATTATTAAATGAAATATGAGGTCTGTTTTAAATTCAGAATAATAAGGTTTCAGGCGTAAAGATAAAGCGAAAAATGCTTTGTATTGTGCATGCAAAAAGCGTGCTCGAAAAAGTCGAAACGTACAGCTGACTGTGAACGCCGAAATAACTTGCAGTGGAGTCGCTAAAGGGGGAGATTCTTATGAAGGGTGACTAGCAACAAATATATCCATATTTTGCTGGCCGCCAGATGGAACCACAGATGTAGAAAAGAGTAACTGGTTTTTTGGCCAACCCGGTGGCGTTGTTTAAAATACAAAATAGAAATGACAATATACAAGAAGAAGTTGTCAAGTGCCAAATTACACACGTTTTCTTTTCTTCGTAATCACTCTCATGAAACTGGAAAAGTATGCTTTTTTCATATCATACGACCCTTTGTTGCATTGAACAAATTAGCAGAATCTTCAAGACACACCTCGCATTGTTACCAAAATCAAATCGTGATCATTGTACATACCAAAAGTACGTGTATAAATTTGGATCACCGAAACCAGTTATCAACCTAATTTCATTTTTTCTCTACCTCTCTTACAATTTTAAAAGACGGAAAAAGCATTTACCGGTGGTGCAGTGGCGTAGCTACCTTGGGTCACACCCGGTGCGGAAGTTGGTGGTGTCACCCCAACAAAAGCAATAAATTTTATATGATTTATAATCGTCATGGATCATTTAATATTTATATTTAAAATATTGAACAAATAACAAGACACAATAAGAACTAAAACAGAAAAAATATATTTGCCTTACAATTAAAATTTCTTCTTTCTAACTGCAAGCTCAGAAATAACTTCATCAAAATTTACATTTGATATTGCCTCGTGTTCGATGGCTAATATGCCAAGATTGCTAAGCCGCGATTGGATCATTGTTGCCCAAAAATACTTTTTTATTAATTTTAGTTTACTGAAACTCCTTTCACATGAAGCTACGGACACGCAAACCGCAGAGAACAATTTTAGTGCAATCATAAAATTGGTAAGAGATTCTGGAAAATCTCATTCTACAATAAACTTAGATCTAAATCTAGAGATACCCAATCAGAAACTGTAGCATTAGCGGCTTTTAAGAGTCTGCGCAGTCTTAATATCTCCAAAAGTAATTCTGTTTCTGAGACATCATACAGTAAATTTGGATGTAGCTAATTTCAGTTCTTCAGTAGTCGCCAAAAGCAAAGTATTTGTTTGTACGATCTCAAACAATGAAGCTAGGTCTTGAAGAGGGTTCGATCTTGTCTGGAGTTCAACTCCGAAAAGGTGACACCTGGTGCGTCCCCGCTGCCCCCTCTCCTTGCTACGCCACTGCGGTGGTGTTTTTAATTCAGCATCCTTTGTTCCTGATCATGGGTACCACCATATGAGATAATAAGCTATACGAAAACTTCTCATCGGAGACGTAACACAATTGAATATGGTGAATAAAATAAAAAAAAACTGTTGCTGAAGGACTAGCCATGAATTGCAATATACAGTACATTCGAGTTTATTTATGACCTGGAGACTCACATTATAATATAATTTCATTTTCCCTGCATATTCATTGACTATTTATTGGAAAATATCTACCGGTGTGTTTACATTCCGCAAACACATGTCATGCAGAATATATTGGAAAATGTGTCCTACGTTTACGCGGTCACATTTTGTGAGGTTTTACAAAATATTGTGGCTCTGGTAAGTCAGAAGATGAGAGCATATTATCTACCGTGCGATTGCAATTAGAACTGCAATTAATTTTAACGTGAGACTAGCGCGACATTCAGAGGTTAATATTTCCCTAATGGCCGACACACAACTACGTGTATACATAATGTGGGACGGGGGTTTGGGGTTACAGACGAATACTGTGTGCCGATTAACAACTATATTAACCAATAAACAATATCTCCTATTTATGTGATACATAGCTGTGTCTTCGCTGGCTCCTGGCGTCTTTTTCACTCAGCGACTTACTTCGTAGTACAGACGGTTGTCCTGTCGATGTTCTACTCTAGATCTCTAGAACATGCGGCGTTGTCGGTGCAGGCGGTGTAGCGCGCAGGCGCGGCACTTCTACGCGGGGAGCAGCGTCGTGCGGTTGTGGTTGCTGCGCGGGTTCCCACAATAATACATCTACCAGAAACAAAATCGGATTTCGTGGAGAGGAGGACGAATGTAAATATCAATGCTTGTTAAGTTTCATACAGTTATTTAGGCATTTCAATAGCTATTTTCATATAAAGTAAAATAACACATGCGAAATATCAATGTCATGCCAACCTCTGAGTTATCTACTTCCGACTCAAATTCCCTTGAACCTCTATATAATCAGTTTTAACTATTTCTTCATTTGTTCGTAGTGAAAATGAAATAATATTGAAGGGACTATGATAAATGTTATAGCGATTATCTTTTAAATAAAATTGATGTTTCCACTCACATCAGTACAGTGCCTTGAACCAATAAAAATTTCAATTCGTGTCCTAACACTATAATAAGACCATTTAGCAACTTCCTGTGAGAAAAGACAAGCACTAATAAC